TTAAGTGAGTTTAGTTCATCTTACTTGTTAATGGAACCATTATCGATGAGGCCAGTGACATCTTTTCTCCGCATTCTGAAAGGTTTAGAATGTTCTTACCCTTCCCCCAGCACAGATACATCATCTTACCTTAAATTTACAAGGTGGATAATATGACTTGAAAACACAGAGAAGCTTTACAATATGTAACTATGTCAGTGCTATGCTTTCTGAGAATGTGAGGGTAAGCTTTTCAAAATATAGGCATTAAAATATTAAATAGGATTTTTATTTTCCAATCCTTTCGGGACACTATGTGTTGTGGGAATTATTCTAAGTGTTTTACAGATGTTAACTCATTCAATCATTGTGTTGTAAATATTTTCATTTTACAAAGTGGAAACTGAAGCCCAGAGACATGAAGTGATTTGCCCAAGATGACAGAGCAAGTAGGTGGCAGAGTCGGGATTTGAATGCAGGTTCTAGAGTCTGTGCTGTCTATGCTGCCTGCTAGAGTATTTCAGCAGGAATGAGTTATAAGTCCGTGTCTCCTATTTTTGTTACATAAAATATAGTTTATTTAAATTTAGACTCCAATCAAGACAAGCTTCTTCTCATCAAAACGAACTAAACACCTCCTTCCTTCAACGGGCCAAACCAGACTATGCAGATACGTACAAGGAGAGAGAATTATTCCTAATATATTAAATAAAGCACATTGTAGATTTTATAAGGCACACACCATTAGTAGTAACATTGAAATGTATTGGTTTTTAAAGCAAACGCTGGGTAGCTAACCAGTCGAGACTGAGTTCTTATTGACCTTCTGTGTAGACTAGGGAGTCACAAGCCCTTTTTGGAGACTCAGCAGATTTCCAAACTAGAGGAGAAACCACCTAGCTATACCCAGATATATACAATTTCTTAAGTGAAAGTTTATGGCAGACCCTCCCTACCACATAAATATTGACATACCCCATTAGTGAGTTCTTTTATTCTCAACCAATCTTTTAAACATTATACAATTTCCAGGTTAAAAAAAACAACAACAATAGACCTTTAGGTTTGCTATATGTATTTTTCTAGCTCAAGTGGATTCTAACTGAACAATAGTGCCAAGATTCTGTCATTCAGAGTTGGAGTACTCAGATAACTAATTTTCTGTATAGAATGATCGATGCTTACATTATATGAATTCCTAGAGATCAGCAACCAATTCTCAAACATTACATAGGGTGATGAGCGCAATGAATATGCCAGGAGGGAGTATCCTCCTTTTCAAAGGCCAGTGGTCACGTTGGGTGGGATTTGTCATGTCTGTTCTGGCTTTTAATTTTCCATCAAAATTAACATCTACAACACAGTTGAAGTTGTGAAACACAGTAAAAGAAAGTAAAGAAGATGGGTACAATGAGATCTTTCACAAGTTGTACTGTCTACTATGGGAATGTTGCTGCAACAATTAATTTTATTTGTCAAGTTGACTTGGCCACTGAGTCCCCAGATATTTGGACAAGCACTAGTCTGGAAGTGTTTGTGATTATTTTTGAGGATATTAACATGTGGATTAGCAGACTGAATAAAGCAGACTGCTCTCCAATGTCGATGGCTCTCCATCCAATCAGTTGAAGGCCTGAATAGAATAAATTGGCTGAGTCTCAGTAAGAAATAAGGAGTGGGGCGCCTGGGTGGCTCAGTCGGTTGAGCGTCCTACTTTAGCTCAGGTCATCATCTCGTAGTTCATGAGTTTGAGCCCTACACTGGGCTTGCTGCGGTCAGCCTGTCAACTTGGAGCCTGCTTTGAGTCCTCTGTCCCCCCTCTCTCTTCCCCTCCCCTGCTTGCATGCTCTCTCTCTCTCTTACAAAAAATAAATAAAAGCATTAAAAAAAAAAAGAAGGAGTAAAGAACAAATTCTTCCTGCATCACTGTCTTGAACTGGAACCTTGGTCTTTCCCTGCATTTGGACTCAAACTAAAATATTGGCTCTTTTTGGGTCTTGAGACCGCTGACTTATAGTCTGGAATTTAACCATTGGCTCTCTTGGTTCTCAGGCCTTGGACTGAATGTACACATTGCTCTCTCTTGGGTCTCTAGGTTTCCAGCTTGCTGACTGCAGATCTTGGGACTTCTCAGCTTTCAAAATGTATGAGCCAATTCCATATAATAAATCTTTACACATAGATATATATAGTTTCTCTGGAGAACCCTGAGTAATATAGTTGTATTTTCCAGAAAGTTGAAGGCAACTGGCTTATTTATTTCCCCATACACTGAGGCATATTGGTCCATTTTTCTTCAAATCTAAGGTCTCTTATCAAAGAAATCAAGAGTTTCATTTTCAAGGACACGTTATTAGTTATGCTTGTCTGTGGAAAAGTGATAAGGCTAAAGAAAAGTGAATTCCATCATTATTAAAATTGTTGTGATGGCTACGTAATTCCTACATATCTATGGAATAGATAGCCCTGCATCACTTTTTCTTTGCATTTCCTCGCTAGCTCTGAACTCAGAGCTAGAAAAATGAGTACGCAGAATAATCTGGAAGCTAGGCGGTCATTTCTTACACAAACATTTTCCTCATCTTTCTTAAACTGCTTTCCTAAATCTGATATATAACACAACCACAGCTAAAGGGGGAAAAATTTCTCCCTCCCCAATCTTAACATACAGTTAAGAAGTTTGAAGTTTGTCTATGACACATCATTGTAGACCTATATGGCTACTAAAATTATTACAGTTATTTACCATGCTGATTAGTTTTTGTTGGTAACCCTTAATGGCAGGCTCCATGTATCACTCACAACTATTAGCTAGTGTTACATGTAATAGAACAGAATGACTATTTATTAAATGTCCAGCTTAGTGGTGGTTGGTTGAATATATGGTTCTGTGTATTTAGTAGAGTATTATGCGAAATTTGTGGTCTTACCATATATATTACAGTGGGTAGTTGACGTTTGACCTTCCCACTTTAGACATGGAGCATGAATTCTTCAGACATGGAGCATGAATTCTTCATGCTTATCATCATTAAGCACAACCATCAACCTCATATTGCCTTTTCTCTATTAAATTGAATGAATGTTCATGTCTTCCAAACTTGATCAGTAATTTCCCTGTAACTATATTTTTTATTATGTTAGCCATTATATCTACATACAATTTCTTAGAATTGATGCTCTATGTATAGTTTCCCTTACTTACTTTGAATTCTCAAAAAGTCTTTATATGAAATAATCATCAATTTATATACCCTTAATAATATTTTTTGAAATCAGTGGTAAAAACATAGTTTTTCTAAGAAAATGAAAGATGGATGCATAATATGAAAGGAAATGCCAAATGTGAGAACCATATATGATGCATATTAGCTCATATTTATAAAAAGGAGGCAGTACTAATAATTCTGTGGGCTAGAATTCTACCTCAACTTTTACCTAAAAAAGAAATACTAAGTATTTCAAGTAAGATGCCTATTCTTGACCATATTTTTGATCAAACTGTTTCACAATTTGATATTTGAACACTTTTGATAACAAATGATTGAACAAACAAATGATTATAGTTGCCAACAGATATATAATTAATACCTTGTCATTAGACTTTTTTTTCAGTGAGTCTGGACTTAGTCTTTACCTGTAACATATATCTTTGAAGTTAAAGACTGACTTTTCTTATAGTTTATAAAGTCAGTCTCATTTCTTTTTAGTACACTGATCAAATCAATGATGTGTTTATTATCTGTTTTAGAACTAGTTTCTATAGCTCAAACTATAAATGGTGTAAATGGGCTTTCTGTTACAGTTAAAAATCAACTATAGTTAAAGCTAGCATTTTGTAAATTAATCTCTCAGAGGATTCTTCAGTGCCTCCTTAAAGGGAACTGACGATTTTGGCAGCTTCTCAATTCTCTTCCATCTGTAACTTCTCCTGGTTAACTAGTCCATGAAGCAGAAGGGAAGGACTTCTCCAGAACAGTGCAAACCATCAGCCAATGGATGCACTGTTTTTATGTTTTGTTTTGCTTTGTTTTTCCCGGTGCATTTTCTAGTGCATTTTAGACTATGCAAATGGAAGTAAGTATTTAAAAAAATACAGTGACACAGGAAAATAAAGAGAATTAATATAAAAATAACTTCTGAATTCATGAGATATATTGTGTAGAAGATAAATAATCAAATGTTAACAGCATAATCCTTTCAGGTTTGAGTTCCTTGAACACATGATGCAGGAGGTAGACTATGATGATTATTTAGTACATTTGCTCTGAAAATGGAGTCGCTCATAATTTTCACAGCTTTAGTTTTCTGGCTTCGTAAAAAAGTGACATGATCTTCTAAGTGTATTTCACATATTCCTCATTTTTATACGTACCATAGGTGAGCAAGATTGAAAACCTAAGAGCTTTATCATTTATAAAAGTACGAGGTGGGATGTAGGAAGATAAAGTCTCCCAAATAATTACAATTTCAACACAACAGAAGGGTTCAATGGTACCATCTGCCTCTTCCCAACAATCTTTTTCGGTTTCTGTTGCGCCATCGTCCTAGATTTACTCATTTTAAAACTTAGGATAACAAAACAGGAGCACTTCTTGGAGTGATAATATTTTAGGCTTCACTGTGGTTTGTAACATCAAGTCTCTGACTGCCAGGATCAGGCTGTGTTGGGAAGCACAGAGAAGACAGAGACATACTATCCTTCTGGGAGAGGGCATGCCAACCACAGAAACAGACGGGGAAGAGCGGATTCTGGGCAGAGGACTCTTCCACAGGCTTCATGCATTTACCAGGACTGATACCACTCACTCTGGCCACAGGGCACTCAGGCACATCCTATACTCTGATCTGCATTTTATTTATTATTTATTTTTTTAATACAAGTTCTCTTAAACATGTTAGTTGTCATGTCATGTTTTCTCTTGTACTATTTCCTCTGCCCTCACACTGACTGATCTCCTCTTATCTCATTTTGGGGATCTTTCTCATGAATGTTCTCAGAGAGGAGAAAATGAACTTACCTGGTGTTTCTGTTGTTTTGATTGAACTCTGATTCTCAGCTTTAGAGAAAAGAAAAGAAAAGAAAATCACTACAAGGAAATGTTGACTGTCCCAATTTTTACAGGTCGTAAATGGTTATAGATCCTACTTCATTTCTGATGCACTTTTCTTTGAATCATAAAATCACAAGGTGTTCCTGGTTAGAAAGACTTTAGAGCGAAAGTCAGCCATTTTTTTTTTCTTAAGAGGCCAAATAGTAAATATTTTAGGCTTTGCGGGTCATAAGTCTCTGTAGCAACTATTCAACTTGCCGTTGTAGTGTGAATGCAGTCATGCATAACACCTAAAGAGTAGGTATGCCTGTGTTCCAATGAAACTTTACTTACAAAAACAGGTGGGGTGCTAGACCCCGTCTGTGGGCCACAGTTTGCTGAAGCCTGTTTTAGAGCATCTGGTACAACTCCATATCCTCAATAAGCCAAGAAAATGCAGACAACTACAAATCCTTTGGGCAGGGCTTAATGAGTGACATGGCCATGTGTCATATTCCCACTAAGAGATGATGCATTTCCTGACCTGAGAGAGACTCAGGAAGGTTTGGACAGATACCTCTCAAACTCAGGGAATTCCTTTAACATAAACATAGTTCAGATGAGCTTTCTACAATAAAATTACTTGAAAAAATTACAATCAAAGATCACTTCAACAACTTTGAGTGTATGTACCATGAACAAAATCTGTCATGTGAAAAATAGAGAAAAACAGAGAAAATGATTTTAAAATAACCAGAAGCCCAATAGCGATAGTTTAAAATATCCATTTGACCCCTTTGTGTGTTCACTTGACTGCCTATCAGCATCTTGAATTTAACATGCTTAAAATAGAACTCTTGACTGGTATCCTTATATCTTCCTCTTCCCCCACTTTCTTGGTTCAGTGCATGGTAACATTGTCCCCCAGCTGCACATGCCAAAAAGTAGTAGCCTTCGGTGATTCTCCTCTTTTTCTCACCCCTATGGGCTTTGGCTTCAAAACATATTCCAAATATATTCATTACTTAATTGGCTACTGTTCATCTAGCACCGATCTCTCTCCCTAGTACCTGCAATAGCCACCTAGAAAAATCTATTTAAATTTAAGCTTCACTACTCTAATGGCTTCCTATGCCTTTCACTATGGATGGTAAGTCTTTACAGGACATGACCCCCTGTTTCACCCTGATTGGTAGATAACATCATGGAGCTCTTCCTACCTTGGGTTTCTCTGCTGACTCTTCCCTGTGCCTTGGTGTTCTCTCAGGCTACGCTCTGGCTTCCTTCTATCTGTCGTGACTCTGCTCAGATGTCACCACTTAGAGAAGCCTTCTCCAACCACCTCACCTAAAGCAGACTCCTTATTTCTCTTCAAACTCCGCCACTTGGCTTCGTTTGCTCAACAGTCCTTTTATTACCACAGTGACATTTTTATTTTTTTATTTTTTTTTTAATTTTTTTTTTCAATGTTTATTTATTTTTGGAACAGAGAGAGACAGAGCATGAACGGGGGAGGGGCAGAGAGAGAGGGAGACACAGAATTGGAAACAGGCTCCAGGCTCCGAGCCATCAGCCCAGAGCCTGACGCGGGGCTCGAACTCACGGACCGCGAGATCGTGACCTGGCTGAAGTCGGACGCTTAACCGACTGCGCCACCCAGGCGCCCCGGCACAGTGACATTTTTAAAATGTGCTTGCTGTCAGTTGAATATGACTCCAGGAGGACAAAGATGGCATGTTTTATTCAGAGCCGCAATTTCAGTACCTATCACCAGGTCTCTAGTAAAAATGTGGAATGAGTGAGTGAGAATAGGAAATAACAATAGTAATAAATAAGACAAACTCTACTTACCTGAATTCGATTTTTCAGGGAAAAGAATGTGTTATTTAAAATTGCCAGTTGGACAGCACTCTCAACAATAGCCAAATTATGGAAAGAGCCTACATGTCCATCAACTGATGAATGGATCAAGAAATTGTGGTTTTTATACACAATGGAGTGCTACATGGCAATGGGAAAGAATGAAATATGGCCCTTTGTAGCAACGTGGATGGAACTAGAGAGTGTGATGCTAAGTGAAATAAGCCATACAGAGAAAGACAGATACCATATGGTTTCACTCTTATGTGGATCCTGAGAAACTTAACAGAAACCCATGGGGGAGGGGAAGGAAAAAAAAAAAAAAGAGGTTAGAGTGGGAGAGAGCCAAAGCATAAGAGACTGTTGAGAACTGAGAACAAACTAAGGGTTGATGGGGGGTGGGAAGGAGGAGAGGGTGGGTGATGGGTATTGAGGAGGGCACCTTTTGGGATGAGCACTGGGTGTTGTATGGAAACCAATTTGACAATAAACTTCATATACAGAAAAATAAAATAAAATAAAATTGCTAGTTGGATAACTATAGCTACCATTAAGCATACTCTTATGATTAGTTCCACATATTATTTGCTGATGTCTGCAAGGGACAGACAATTACCATTCGGCAGATCTACAAATATTAGCTGAGAAGAGTGAAACTCCTTTCTCAAGGTAGGGACAACGCTTATAAATTAGGTGTGTTCATTCTAATGTCTATCCTATTCTACTAAAGTAGACAGTTTTTCTGTCCACTAACCCACCCTGAATGGAAAATTTATGTAATTAATTTTTGCTTTTGATAACTAGTTAAAATACTTTTGAACATGGCATAATGCTGTATTTGGAAGATGCAGTTAAAATATTTATCAGCTGCTAGAGGATTAGGATGCAAAGACAATTAAAACCCTTTGTTCCTATTGCTATGAATATCAGGTCATAACCTTTCTTGCTGATAGACTTCATTAAGAATGAAAAAAATTTAAACTTGTATCAGACAAAACCTGATTGTTCTGTATTTAGTTTTTTTATTAGCCTTCAGAAATGCATAATAATTTTAGAAGGACGTGTCATTTATAAAAAAATGAACTATGTCTTAAGGCTTAGCTGAATCAAAATAATAACGTATGTCAGTGCAAAACCCTTATATTGAGTGTACGAAGAGGTCCAGACTTTCTTTTTTTTTTTCAGACTTTTATATATGAATGCATATGCTGTTTTTTTGAGGACCAAATTCTGCAGATCTTAAATATTTAATCAAAACTAAAATAGATACCTTTTTTGTATGAAATCAAAGAGAGATTATTTTGAAAGTAATGAAGTGTTTTCATACGGCACTTCAAATTTGGATTCAGTTCTGTGGGCATAAAAGTTTATTAAAGATGAATGTTATAGAACACGGATAAAGTGGGAATTCATGAAATGTGAAGACATTTACAATTGTTCCTGAGTTTTACTTGTAAGTTTCATAATACATGTTTTTAGAAAAATCTAGACTCTGATCTATAGTGAAGTGAGTAAAGTCAGATAGCAAATGAGTGTAGTGCATGCTATTAAGCTACTCTCAAATTTAACTATTTAGTAAAGACCAAAATCTTGGTCAAAGTGGTTGGCAACTTAAAATCTGTTTGTTGAGTTTTATTCTATGAGATGGAAGTATTATGAAATGCAAGAGAACTTCTAAATTTTCAAACTTAAATCCACATTAATCGAAAACTATACTCAGTTAGCTTTTAAAACAGAAAGCTTAAACAGCAAAACAACAAACAACTTTGCTAAATATCGTCTTATAAAGAATATTGTGCTCCTAACTATATATGCATATATAACTGTATATAGTTATGCATAGAAAATGTCACTAACAGGAAAGGAGAAAAGATACATTCCCATATATATTCCATATATAATTCTTTAATGATATGCTTAAAAATAATTTGCTATGCCCAATTCATGTTTTCCTTATCATTTTCTTATGCACAGTGTTGGCTGAGTCATTAAATGTGACATTAGAGTTGACCCCAGATCAACACAGGTTTGAAATATGTAGGTCTACTTATACATGGATTTTTTTTTTTTTTTTTTTTTTTTTGGTGCAGTGTAGGACTATAAATGTATTTTCTTTTCCTAATGATTTTTTAAAATTTATTTATTTTTGAGAGAGAGAGAGAGAGACAGAACTAGAACAGGGGAGGGGCAGTGAGCAAGAGGGAGACACAGACTCCAAAGCAGACTCCAGGCTCTGAGCTGTCAGCACAGCCCAATGCGGGGTTCAAACTCACGAACTGCGAAATCATGACCTGAGCCAAAGTTAGACGCTTAACGGACTGAGCCATCCAGGAGCCCTTCCTTATGACTTTCTTAATAACATCTTCTCTTCTTTAGGTTACTTTATTATAAGAATACAGTATATGATACATATTACATACATGTGTTAATTGACTACTTATGTTATTTGTAAGGTCAGCGGTAGGCTATTAGTAATTAAGTTTTTGGGGAGTCAAAGTTATACGTGGGTTTTCTACTGCCCAGAAGGTCAGCCCTCCCAACCCCCATGTTGGTCAAGTGTTAACTTTTATTTCTGGTTTGGCTAAACCATGACTTGTGTATGACTCAGATTTTGTTGTCCTAAGAATTCCTCGTGTATCTGCCCATGTGAAATAATACAAACTAATTAAATATCATGTAAGAGATGTTATGATTAAGTTCCCAGATAAGTGGCATAGGTAAATGGTGCAGTTCCCTAAGGAAATAATGAGCCTGGACGATCTGATAAATTAATAGTTTCCAAAGGATGAGATGCATAGCGTTTATGAGATTCCATAAGGCAGTACTGGAAAGTGACATTAAATAAGATTGAAACATTCAATGAGAATGTTATTAGCTTTTCAGCTTTCTTTCAGTTTATTTGGTTATTTCAATGAGGAACTTTCAAAATTACAATTTAATGTAAATGTGTGATTAATACCTAACATGTGCTTATCTTGATGTATTTTTTTAAACAAGAATGACCAAGCCTTAAACAAAGAGCCTTTGGCAAGCAACAAAACCCAGCTACAACTTAATTGTATTTTGTTTTGTTTTTTAATTTGTTTTAATACTTATTTATTTTTAAGAGAGAGAGAGACAGAGTGCCAGAGGGGAGGGGCAGAGCAGGAGAGGGACACAGAATCTGA